GGTGGGCAGCCAGCTGCCGGGGGCGCTGGGGCTGCCGGGCAAGCCGCCCAGCTCCAGCCCGCTCACCGGGGCCTCGCCGCCCTCCTTCATGCAGGGATTATGCCGGGACCCGTATTGCCTGAGCTACCACAGCGCCTCGCACCTGGGCTCCAGCAACTGCTCCAGCTGCGTGCACGACCCCGGCAGCCTGAAGAGCGGATACCCTTTGGTGTACCCCACGCACCCCCTGCACTCGGTGCACACCACGCTCTCCTCCAGTGGCACCCCCAGCCTGCCCGGCCACCCCCTCTACACCTACGGCTTCATGCTGCAGAACGACCCCCTGCCCCACATATGCAACTGGGTGTCTGCCAGCGGACCCTGCGACAAGAGGTTTGCCACCTCGGAGGAGCTGCTCACCCACCTACGGACCCACACGGCCCTGCCGGGGGCGGAAAAACTCTTGGCGGGTTACCCTACCTCCGGGCTGGGCTCCGCAGCCTCCTGCCACCTCCACCTCCCGCCTGCCGCCCCCGGGAGCCCCAACACGTTACCCGCCTCCCTCTCCTTGAGGAGCCCACACACTTTGGGACTAAACAGGTACCACCCCTACGGCAAGAGCCATTTGCCCACAGCCGGTGCCCTGCCGGTGCCCTCCTTGCCGGCCGCCGGACCTTACTACTCTCCATACGCGCTCTACGGCCAAAGACTAACTTCAGCTTCTGCACTGGGATATCAGTAACTACGGCAGCCCCTTCCCCTGCTCCAGCCTCCTCCTCGCCCCAGCCCCCCGCTCCCTCCTTGGACTGTGTATTTATTTACTGTATGTTAGCTTAAAGCTGGGAATATAAGTGCATTAATACACCAATGAATCAATGGTATGCAAAAAGTCTGTGTCCAAAAAAAAAAAAGAAAAAAAGAAAAAAATTCTTTACTTTGCAGGTGTGGGGCTTTTATTTTTCCCTTCTGTTTCTTTTGAATTTTTTTTTTTCCTCCCCCTTCTTAATTTCCCCCTGAGAAATTCTTGCATGACTCCTGACACACAAGGAAAAAAAAAAAAGCGTTTTCCTCCTCCCCCTCCGTGTTTATCGTTCTGGGATTCTGTTCCTCTTCATTTGTAAAGTTAACAGATGTATTTTCTAATTTAAGTTTGTCTGCTGTGGTTTCCAAAACTCTAGTCCTAAACGAGTGGTCGTGAAATACTAATGTAATTTTCATGTGGTAGATTAAATCCATAAATTAGCATTTTCATGCATTTCGCTTCATGTTAATAAAGATTGAGTGTTAATTAATACTGTTCAGCACCAGCTACACACACCCACTCGTTATGCTGCGTCAGTATACTTGACCATATGCTTTTCATGTTAACATTGTATTTATTTTCATATTCATGTCGTGCCTTATGAGTCATATAATGAGTTAAATACAGTAAGGAGATTTGGGGCTTGTTTAAACTTCTTTTTGTACATTGTCTCAGTTTCTAAAACAAATGTCAAAACCTTAAGCATAGACTAGTTCTTAACTCTTAGTAGATTTTGTTTGTTCTTATAACGTTTACTATTATTTCTGCTTTGACACGTACAAATGTAGTGATATGCGGTTTGAAAATCTGTTCTTTTTCTTTCATTTACATTTTCTTTGGGTATTCTAGTTCTTAACTTTATTGTTCATGTTATGGAGTGACTGTTTGTAGTCCATTAGCAATGGATTGGGAGATAATTCTTGAGGTTAATTATTTTCAGAGGAAAGTGCAAATGCTGCTCATCCTCACGTCTTTCCACAGCATTCATCTTTGAGATCTGATGCAATGTAATTTAATAAAATGTTAACTGTTTTTCTGCAAAGTAACTAAAGTATGGCTTAATTCTGAACACAGATGTTGCCTTCGCATCATATAATTTAATTGTCTCTGGTTATGTTTCAGTCTTCATTTACTTTTTTTTTCCCAATGCTTCTTCGTTTAAGTCTGAATAATTCAATGCAATTACAAATCCTTCTTGGTCATAATTGACTTGACTGAGTAAATTCTAATATAACTCTAATGCCTGTGAAAGAAATAAGTATTCTTAACGCAAGTACATTACATTTGTTCTACAGATTGTACCTTACTGTGCCTTTTGTGACAGGTAGCACGGTCTGCTTACATGCTTGTGTGGTTTTTATTTCTTCTGGTGTCTGGGAGAGAGCAGCAGCTGTGTCAGAGAGCCTAAGAATGCTGACTTACAAAACATGTTGTCAGAAGCATTTTATCTTACTTTTAGACATGTTTTAGTATTTGTACTAAGTGTCATAATTGGACTTAATGGACAGCTTTTGGCTTCAATAAATGATACTGTCAAGGTTTTTTTTTTTTTTTTTTTTTTTTTTTTTTGCTGCCTGCCCAGCCCCGCCGGGTAGCTGCAGGTGGGGGGGGCCCGTGCCCCAAGGTAGGGGCCCTCCCCAGGCTTCTGTTCCAGCCGCAGGCCAACCCTTGCAGCGGGACCCCCGGCCGTGCCTCCGCTCCCCCTTGAAATCCCACGTGCTCCTATTGCCCCACATCGCTTTTTTCTTTTCTGCTGTTGAGCGCTTTGCTCCTGTTGCATTTTGGGTGAGTCACGCAATTAATCCCAGTTAATTGCCTTCTCTATATTGCCTTATGCCCTGTGTTTAAATTCCTTTGTGTCCTTTGAGCTGAAAAATAATGCGCTTAAAACAGGGACTGGTTTTGCCAATGGGATTTTTAGTTTTCTGCCCGTTCCTGCGAGCGTGGCCGTAGGCGTGCGGCCGGCGGGGAGGGCCCTGGCCGGGGTCTCCTGCTGGAAATGGGAGAGGCTGGTGGTGCCGGGGGCCGGTCTCCCCTCGGCTGGCGGAGGGGTGGGCAGCACCATCCCCGAGCTCCCCAAGGCTGGGGGGAGGCAGGTTTTGCGGGTCCGTGGCTAACCCCTGCCCTGCTGTGGACGGGGGTGCCTGCC